TCTTATAAAGATTTGCTATCCAAAAAATCACCCCTCTTAAAACTCAATAATAAGATAACAAACAACCTAGTTAAGAAATGAGCCAAAGACCTTAGCAGACACTTCACCAAAGAAGGGATACAGATGGCAAATAAGCTATGAAAAGATGCTTAACATTATATGCTATTAGGGGATTACAACTTAAAACAGCAAGGAGATACCATAGAAAGGCTAAAATCCAAAAACCTGAAAAAATTGATAGCTTTTTACAAAACAAAATGTAATCTTGCCACACAAGCCAGCAATCATGCTCCTGGGTATTGACCCAATTAAGTTGAAAACTCATGTCTACACAGAAACCTGCATATGAATATTTATAGTAGCTTTATTCATAGTTATCAAAGACTATAAGTAACCATAATGTCCAATAGTATAAACAAACTGGTACAACTATGCAATGACATGCCATTCAGCAATAAAACGAAATGAACTATCTATCGAGTCACAAAAACTTGATTGCATCATACTAAGTGAAAGAAGCCAATCTGAAAAGGCTACATGCTGTGTGAGTCCAACTGTATGACATTCTGGAAAAGGCAAAACTAGGGAGACTGTAAAAAGATCAGTGATTGCCAGGGTTAGGATGGAGAGAGAGATCAATAGGTGTAACACAGAAAATTTTTAGGGCAGTGATAACCTAATCTGTATGATACTATAATGGTTAACACACGTCCTTATACCTTTGTCTAAATGCATAGAATATACAACACCAAGAGCGAATCTTAATGTCAACTATGCACTTTAGGTGATAATGAAGTGTCAATGTAGGTGTGTCTATTTTACCAAATGAGCCTACGTGTGGAGGGGGGGCAGGAGGTGTATGGGATATCTCCACAGCTTCCTCTCAATTTTGCTGTGAACCTAAAACTACTCAGGATAAAAAGTCTTTTTTTTAATTTCAGAATATTATGGGGGTACAAACATTTTGGTTACATATAATGCCTTTGCCTCACCCAAGTCAGGGCTACAAGCATGGTCTTCCCCCATACAATGCACTCTGCATTCATTAGTTATAAGTATACCCGCCCCCACCACTCCTCCCACCTGACCAGCACCTAGTGAATATTACTACCATATGAGCACCTTAGTGTTGATCAATTAGTACCAATTTGATGGTGAATACATGTGGTACTTGTTTTTCCATTCTTGTGATACCTTTAAGATACCTCTTATTCTTGTGATACATCCAAGAATGTATCACAAGAATGAGCTCAAGCTCTATCCAGGATAACATATGAGGTGCTAGTTCACCATTGTTTTTTGTAGTTGAGTAGTATTTTATGGTACACATATACCACATTTTATTAATTCACTCATGTATTGATGGACACTTGGGTTGTTTTCACACCTTTGCAATTGTGAATTGTGCTGCCATAAACATTCGAGTGTGCATGTCTTTATTATAGAATGGGCAGAGGACAGAAACAGAAATTTTTCAAAAGAAGACAGACTAATGACCAGCAAACATATAAAAAAGTGCTCAACATCACTAATCATCAGGGAAATGCAAATCAAAACCATAATGAGATATCACCTAACTCCAGTGAGAATGGCCTTTATCAAAAAGTCCCAAAACAACAAATACTGGTGTGGATGTGGAGACATGGGAACACTCTTACACTACAAATTAGTACAACCCCTGTGGAAAGTAATTTGGAGATATCTCAAAGAGCTAAAATTAGAAATACTATTTGATCCAGCAATCCCACTACTAGGCATCTATCCAAAGGTAAAAGTCTTTTTAAAAATGTGACCATTTGGGCCTTACTTGCTGCTCTGGGAAAAAGAAAATACTGTTAGGTGGGAATGGTTCTTTTGGGTTTGGAGATTTCCTAAAGATTTCACTAATTATGCATAGTCCAGGCGTTCTGTTCCAAGGTTGGTCAGAGTACATGCGCTACATTGCCACTTCTTATGCATCTTGCACATGCTCACGGTCTTAAACCCATGTGGATTTACATGATCCAGCATTTTATCTTTTTATTCAAAAGAGTGCTTCTCACTTTAAGTCTTTTGATGAAGAATCTCTATCTTAGAGGACCCTGGAGGGTAACCACATGCCCAGTTCCCCTCTTTTATTCCCAGCTCAGAGCCCCAGCCTCCCGCTCTAAGTGGTCCGCAGCTCCACTCCCACGTTCAAGTTCACTTGCTTGATTGAAATTGTGCTCTATTTAAGGGAAAGCGAGAAGAGGTCTTGGATATCACACACTGAGTTGGCTCTGGTGGTTTGGACTTTCACAGATGGGATATTGGCCTTAGGTTAAACGCAAAGCTTGAGAAGAGGCCTATTTATCACTCTTAGGAGTCCACTAAATACCAGATCCCCATAAAGATAGCAGGCATTAGTTAAATAAATGAACCATTAAGTTGAGAACAGGTGTGTGAAAACAGCCACCCGCTCCTGAGTTACTGACCCTTGGTAGACATTGGTTGGTAATGGACTCTATCTGCAGCAAGCAGCTTGCCCTGCTATTTAGAAAAGGTGGCTCCTTTTGCACTTTAAGTCGCATTCCCACCCCCTGACCTCCCATGAAGAAACCCTGGAGCTGAGCGAGTGACTCTGGTGAAGAACTCCCCACTTCCCTCTTAACTCAGGTGCCCACGGAAGGTTGATGGACCATCTTGCCAGCCACCGTGTGCGTCTCATTCAGCTGCAATGAAATTTGGGAGCCCTTGGTCCCAGCTTATGTTTTCACATATTGGTGACCCTCAAAATAATCTGGAGATTTCTGAGGCAGCCTGCCCCCCGGCTCTAATACGCTTTGATAAGATACATTTTCATTAACACAGGGGGCTTCTTCCTACGGGAAGGGGCATAGTAGAAATAAACTCTCAAGCATCCTCCTAGCATTTGGAGGGGCCAAAGATGAGATTTTAAACGCTTTTTTGATGTTCAGTGACCAGCAAAACTGCTGCTTACTCATGAAGTAAAAACCAATGTGCTTTTGTTTTGTTTGCTTTTGTTTTGGTCTTACCACTCTAAATTTCATTTGTTATTCTGCATGTCCCGGTATATAATTCCTTCAGAGGAGTGGACAACCTAATTATGCCTGTGAAATGGGTATCAGAGAAATAAAACAGAGACACGAGTGGGGTGGGGCAGCAGATTCAGTGACTTGCACTCAAGCCAGGCTCATGGGGCCGCACGTTCCGACACTGACCGGTGGTTCTCAAGGGTTGGCCCACACGTGGGCTGCGCCGCCTTTAGTGGAAAGGAAAAGAGACAACTTGATCTTGCTTATGGAGAAGGAAAAAGAGGAGGAAGGTCAGGGAGAGAAGAAGAAAGGTGGCAGCACTTGTAGCAGTTGTAGAGGCAGTCATGGTAACAGGTGGGGAGAGGTTGGAGCGGAGTTATTATATGGAAACCAGAGGTTACATATCACGGACAGGAAAATATCCAGGCCTCCGAAAGAGGCTGAAAACCGAACAAGGAAACCAAAGGAACCCAGGATGTGCTCTCCCTGGGGCTTCCTTGCTGCACACGCTGTAGGTTCTGCCTTTAGAACCCCGACCTGCAGACTAGCTGCCCAGATACCCAGTCCACGTGGCAGGAAACGACTACAGTAGGGCCCCAGCTCACCACAGCTTCTCTTACTCTGAGATTAGCCCAGACTGAAGTCAAACTTTATAACACTAATTCCAAATTTTCGTGAGAGAATCTGATTGGTCCTGCTTGAAACAGTGGTCTAGTGAAGTTTAATCAACCGTCCAGGAGTTAGGCAATGCAAACACAGTTACCGGGGGTCTGCTCTCTGGACAAAGGGGGACAGTTAAGTGATCATGTGAGCTGGGAACAAATCCCCCCAAAAGTATTTTCCAGAATCCATCACTGTCCCTCCACATAATGCAAAGATTAATCTCTGGGTATTACCAACCTGTGTTGTTGAATTTTTTTGTTTTTATTGTTTTGGTTTGGTTTGGGTTTGAATCAATAATTTGCCTGGAAAATGTGCTATAAGTTCATCCTTTTTCATTCATTCAAAGTAGCACATTAAACTTATTTTTCTTGGTAAGAAGAGTTTGGGGCATGGCAAAGAGAAAATGGATATGGAAGGTTTGTTTTTTAGCCCCTTCAAATCTAGACATAAACCAAAATGTTTGAAGAGCACTATCCTCACACCATCCCCAGGGAAAGAAATAGGTCAGTCAACTATATTGTGTTTTCTTCTGCAAGGATAAGAAACATGTTTACTTTAAAGGGGAAGAGATGATTTGGATTATGCCTAAGAAAATAATTTTAGATGTTTAAGACTATATCATAAATGATTTTCACTATGAGCCTCAGCAAACTTCAAAATATTGTTCTTGGCCTACTATGGTGGTGCACACACACACACTTTGGGCGGCCAAAGCAGGAGGAAGGCTTGAGGTCAATAGTTCAAGAGCAGCCTGGGCAACATAGCAAGACCCTGTCTCTACCAAAAAAAAAAAGCCCCAAAAAACACAAAATTAGCCACGCACAGTGACATGCACCTGTAGTCCCAGCTACTCTGGAGGCTGAGGCAGGAGAATTACTTGAGCCCACGAGTTCAAGTCTACAGTGAGCTACGATCCTGCCACTGCTGCTCCAGCCTTAGAGATAGATAGCAAGACCCTGTCTCTAAAAGAAATAAATATATTGTTCACATCTAATTACACCTCTGTCCATTTTTCCTTTCCCGGTCTTATTTGTGGCTCCTGGAAAGAATCACGGCGCTCATGTGCGAGGCTGCACACAGCTCAGAGCTCTGCACGCCCCCTGCCCACCCCCAGGACCTCATTCTAAATGTAGCAGACAGCAACGTGGCAGGAAATCGTTACGATCCAGCAGCCACGCGGGCCTGGGCTCAGAGGCCATGCTGCAATGAGGAGTGGAGGGTGCTAGAATCCATTCTGGGGTTTCACCTTCCTTTGAAATAGCTCCTACTTCCTAATGCCTGAGAGATGTGAACAGCCTTTTGTTCCGTCCCATTTTCCTCCAGGCTCAGCGCAGATATGAATGCTGATGTGGTGTGTCACGCTCTGGAGTTCTGTAAACAGGCCACCGGCCAACCTTTGTGTCATCTCTACCCCCTTCCCAAGGTGAGTGGGTTTTCACTCTGAACAGAAGTTTCTGGTGACATGCAAGCCCTTTGGAAATGTTAGGAAGGGTGACTCGGCTCCACTTGCTCGTTGGTTTGGGGACAGGGAGCGGCAAGAGGACATTTTCAATTACACCAGCATGAAATAGCATCCTGAATTTCAGCCTGGATCCCTCCCCCAGGCCACCAAAGAATGTCTTTGCTGTTCATCTGTTGTGAACTGTAAATTTGAGCTGGGCTGGCACTAGGTAGGAAATCTGATCAGCCAAACAGCACAGAGGTTTAAGTCCCTGTCTACGACCTAAAAATCAAGCAAGAGCAAACCTGGGTGGCTGGTCACCCCCTTCTCTGACCTTCGTTGTTCTTACCCATACAGTGGGTTATAGTAAAATACCTCCCTCATCGGTTTATTGTGGGAAGTAGGTGAGCCAGTACATACAAAATGCTTAGTACGGTACCTGCTACCTAAAAAAGTGTTAAGAAAAATGATGGCTTATGTAATTATTATTGATACCATTATTATTCGGAGAGAGTTGTTCTGAATACCCTATGTGGGTTTTATCATTGCGGGCAAATATTAATTGGATTGCAGTCAGAGCCAAGGCTGCCAATGTTGACACAATTCCCTCCCCGTACTCTGGGTGACAATATGATATTAAATCCAGTTAGGCCTCACAAATATCGATTTTTGGAAGCTTCCTGTAAAAGAAAAAATATTCTGTGCCTCGTTTTTCACAACTGCAATTTTTCTGTATATAACACAACCAGGTTTCTATTTTAATTATAATTTCTTTTTTATTCATGTTAAAATGGCAATTTTAGCCCTTTGTGGTCTAAACAATAATCATAATTTTGCTGACTGATAATATTAAATATCATAAGCCTGTCTCCTTGAGCAGGAAGAAAGGGATGCAAATGCTTGGAGTGTGAATGTATTTCGTGCTTCCTTGATCATTGACTAAGTACCAATTAAATTTACCCTAATTCCACCTGAGGAGCTGTGGGCTTCCCTGGTTTCTGGAAGAGTTTATTTTAATTTAAAAAAAAAAAAACTTTCCATGTGTTCGAGCAGCATGTGAATATTGTATCGTAATATTCACTGCTTTTGCAAGGAGGAACCGTGTCTCTGTGTAGGAAGGCAAGTGATAGGGGCTTTTGTGATTTCTTGCAATAACATCATGTCATCTATACACTGCACCCACAGCTATACATTGCCACAAAAAGTTCAACTTTAAGCTATCCCATTTGGTTTCCTGGAATTTCATTTCCTTGTCTTCCCATCCCAACCGGCTTTTCAATCCCACCTCCATAGCATTGCAACCATCCTCTCTCTCCGGAGGGAACTGGAGGATTTCATGCTGAAATGGTCAGCCTCCGCCTGGCTGGGCGTTCAGTGGTGCTGGAGGTCTGCACTGCTCCCTGGGAGCCCCCTCCACGTCCCCTGGGGTCTGTTCTGGACCGTCACCCTCCAGCTCAAACCCCTCTTGCCAGCCCCCGTCTCTGCAGATGACCCAGAAAGAGGGACAGTCAGTGTAACTGTGGACAGCCTCACTGGCCTCTGCCTCTGAGGTTGTCTTCAGTAGCAACAACTGGCACTTACCGAGCACGCGCCGTGTGCCAGGCGCTGGGTGAAGAGGCTTATGCTTCATCTCAGTTAGACCCCAAGTGACCCTGGGATGCAGGCACTATTGCAACCCCTTTTTCATAGTGGAGGAGTTAATTCCCAGCCCTGTCCTGATCGGAGAGCTTGGGTGGGCTCGTAACCTTCCTTACCCGTGTTTCTGCAACTCCCCTGGGGAGCTCCTCGCGACAGTCAGCTGAAATCCCACCACCAGAAACCACCGGTGTTAGAACGTTGCTTGCTTGCCTTTTAATTTTTAAAATAAATTAGATTGTATTAATAATTCCTTTGAAAGTCATGACAATGTTTATACAATTTTATGCCCTACTTCTCCCCCTGAACATTACACTTTGAGCACATATTTTTTAAAAAATTACCTTTTTCATTTCCAGAGCATACAAATCGCTCCTACATAGCATGTATGAATTATCACCTAGAATGACCTGCCTACCAAAGGCAGGTGAAACACAGATGTACATGTAGACAATTTCCAGCCCACGAGAAGGCTTCCTCGTATCTCTCCTGGTCAGTAGTCACCAAAGTACCACTATTCTGAAATCCATCAGCACAGATTAGCTCACTTATATAAAATTCTATTCTTGAACTTCACATAAATGGACTCACACAGTATGTGCTCCTTTGTGCCTGGCTTCCTTTGTCTGCGAGATCCACCCATGTTTGGGGTACACAGTATCATCGCATGCAGTATTCGCCCAGTCAGCTTCTGATGTCACCCCTGCTGTAGCTTCCCAGCTGGCCAACCACATCTGCTCTTGCTCTCTTCCCAACAGTTTCCACACTGATGCCATAAATGCCTTTCTGTAGGATGAATATGATCTTGTCACCCCACCATAGCCCTTTGCATGATCAGCAGTTCCTCCCTTGGTCCTTCCTCCGGGTGATTCCTCCTCCTCCTTCATGTTTCCGCTCACACCTTGCTTCTCCGGGGAGATGACTCCGATCAGACACCCCTTGTCATAGCTCCTGTGCCTTCCTTCATCCAACTCGCTCTTTTCAGGGATACACCTGTGCGATTGCCCGTCTGTCTGCCCCTCCCACTGGGCTCTAACCTCTAGGAGGGCAAACTTGTTGACCACTGTATACCCAATGCCTAGGATGGTGCCTCACACATGCCAAAGAAATATCTGTGACTGAATGAATGGATGAAGTGCCACTAGCTTCTCATTTGCATCCTTGATGGAAATTCTGGTTTTCTTCACGTCATGGCCTGACTGATTTTCCCAGTGTACACCTCAGGTCCTGTTATTTCCTCCAGCCTAGGACCCCCACATTGTTGACACAATTAAGCACAAATTTTCACCTAGCATTTCAGGACTCTCCAAAAGCCTCTCCCAACTTGCTTTCCATTCTTAGTCCTGTGAATCCTGTGCTGTGATCCAGCAGTGGGCGATGGGTTCTCCCCCAAGCCCACTCCCACCTCCCCACCTCGCACCTTTGGTCGGAACCCCTCCTTCCACCCAGACAGCCGCACCAACGCCATGCCCACCCTTCAAGTTTGTCTCTGTGGCCACCATCTCCGTAAATTAATCCCTAACTCTCCCCGGCAAAATATTAACTCTCCTCTCAATCATCATTGTAAAACAAGCACTTACAATGCGCTAGCACTCTCCCAAATGCTTCATATGTATCGATTCATTTAATTTTACAGAGTAGGTTCTGTTGTCCATATTGCATACACGGGGAAAGCGAGGCACAGAGATGCCGAGCTATTACAGCTGTGTAGATTTCCTGACTAGGGTGTAACCACGTGGGGAGGCAGTTGCATCTAGCCTGTCTTCGTCCCTCCATCTCGCCAGGTGCGTGCTTACTCGGTATGTGGATAACAATGGAAACAGCAGGAGCATACAGTTATTGACGGCCTGCCAGCATCTGCACTTTACAGGCATGATCTCATTTAACAAAGCTCTTAGGTGTGTATCTGTTTCACAAATGAGGACATTGAGAATTAAAGAAGTTCAAGGGTTTTCCCAGGTTACACAGCCAGGGAGGACTCACCGGAGGATCTTGGTCTGTTTGTCTTCAGAGCCCAGGTTCTTATCCGCTGTGCTCTGGCTCACTTATACTCTTGGGGATTGTTACTGTGAATTGAACCACCGTTCCTGGGCCAGCTAAGTCCTCACAAGCAGGACTCTGCACCCTCCACGTCTTGCTGGTCATGCATTTCAGATTCTAGTAAAGCATAGATGGTGTGAGACAAGCCATCTCCCCAGTGACATGCATGCTACAGGGATGGAGGGGACGGAGGCGATGGAGGGGTCCCTCTGTGCCAGGAAGCTCCTGGGGCAGAGAGAAGCATGGCAGAGCAACAGGGGTCTGACTCCAGTGGGGCCAAAAGAAAAATGTGGGACCACATTTTGGGAACACAATGAACCAACTATTAATCATCTATAGCTCACCCGAAATTCCAGGCCCACTTCCCGCCGATCCTGTGGCCATGAATCCCTACCACTATCTACCATGTGTTCTAAAGGGCAAACTTCATTCATAATTAATCAAAGCAAGAAAGATCTACAATGTTCAACTGAGGGGAAAAGGGAGGAGGGTGAAGAATGGGAGGAAGAAGGGGAAAAGCTGCAGGCCTCATTGCAAACGCTCCCCAGATAGTTTTGTGTTACCTACCTTGGGGAGATTATTTTTACCACTGCTCTTCTCATTTTCACACAAAACAGGGCATTGACTGTTGCTGCTGGGCCTGCCAGTTGCACACACACACGTGCAAACACATACACATGCATGCAAATTTGTGCAAAAGCATGATTCTGACACCCCAGCTCACAAAATGAAAATTGAATGCAGCTCCTACTTGTGTACCCTGTGGCTCTTTAAACCTCTCTTTTCTGGATCAGTGTTACAATGTACACGCCCCTGCTTGAGCCAGGAGCTTCTGAAGCCTCCTCAGCTTGGTGCTCCCCCCTGGGTCCCCTAACCCCTGAGATCCCCAGGCAGACCTCATAGCTTTAAAGAGACCCCCCTCCTAACCACGACTGTGCTGGAGGGGCATGCTGCACTTGCCAACATCCCAAAGGCACACTTCAGACTGACTTCAGCCACTTACTAAAACAGAATTATATGCAGGATGTAAGCCTGTGTGGGGACAGGTTCTCCGTATTTCTCTGGAGCCTCCAGCCCACTTAAACTGCTATGAGGGAGACCCACAGCCTTAGGAAAGCACCCCAGACTTTGAAATGGCTTTACCCATGCCGAACCTGTTTTCTGCGGGAACCAGATGCTGGGGGTGTGGGTGTGTGTGTATGCACAGGAAATCCAAACCCCCAGGAAGCTGACATACATGGGTTTGGGAAGAAGTAAGTCTGCACTCTTTTTTATGAGAAAGAGGCACACAACAGATTCTTGTTTCA